TACATGATTGTGTTGTTGTTGTGTTGAGAACATCCAAACCAGACGGGGAAGAATCGGCCTTAATCCGTGTGTGTGAACTCGACCCGCAGTGTTTTGTGTTCTTTCATTTGGTGCCTTCAGTTTGTTGTTGTTGTTATTTGTGTATAATTTGTTGTGTGTCCTTTTGTTACTTTTGCTGTTCCTTTTTTTTTGTCGTTCTGTCCTCCGACCGCTGCCGCCTCGCCCTCCTCTGACCTCCTCGTCCTCTCAGAGGGCGGCGGACGGAGGTAAGGGGGAGGAGGAGGAGCTGCTGGTGGAGGTGATGTGCCTCCCCGCCAGCGGCTTCGACCTGGAGCTGTACACCCCCGAGGTGCAATACCGACACCGGCCTCTAGAGGCGCCTGTAAGCCCCAGACTATACATACCGACAACTACAGGCAGGAAGAAGAAGAGTCTCACCGTCTGGACTGAGCTGCAAATACTAAACCTGGCATAATCCCTGCAAATTAATACGTTAGATTATCTCAACATTATTAAACCTGCACCAACAGAGTCAAACCTGATGTTGAGTGCGAGCCATTGATAGATGAGGTGTTTTTAAAGGACCATACCGGAGTTTAAGCACGTTTTAGTAAATTAGCTACAAACTTTAAAGAAGTGAAAATTGAAAAATGTATTTATTGTGTTTATTTGAGCAGATTAATAACTGGATTAGTTTAGAGAGTCAGTGGTGCAAATAGAAACTTTGGCACTTATTGTCCATGTGGCTAATGAGCTAATAGATGCTTTTGTTCCATTTTTAATTAAATCTAACAAATGATGAGCAGCCAAACAAAAAGGGTGGAAACTGAGCGAACCTTTGACTGACTCGTTCTTGCATGTTTAAAACAAAGAGAGGAAAGAAATCCTCACATTGGAGAAGTTAAACCAGTGAGTATTTGATGCTTTTGCGTTTTCAAATGAGTGAAATTACCAGTCAGCTGTTGATTGTGATGGTTTGTGTCACTTCAGCAGGTTTCAAGATGACTGTTGATAGAAACAGACTGAAACCTGCCAGAAAGGAAATCAGAAATAATCTGAACTTAAAGCACAAATGCATGTAAAGCTGCGCTATGGTCCTTTTTTTGAAAGTTTGGCGCCAGTGATAAAGGCTCTAATTAAGCAAAACAAAATGATGAGATGTTTGTTTGAGACAGTTTTGAGTTTTTGTGACTTTGCAGCTCAGCCAGAAGGTGGCGACTCGCCGAGAGGAGCGAACTGCGAGAACGGCAGTGAAAACGCCGACGTCCACTCAGCGGCTCACGACAAACGAGGACAGTTTCAAACGAACACACTAATGAATATGGAGATGTTTTGAGGAGGAACGTAGCCGTACAGAGGATTAGTGTTTGCTCTGTTTTCTGTCAGGTTCAAACTTGAAAACATGCATCAATCATCATGTGCAGTCTGGAAGGTTTTCGTGAGGATTTAACGTCCTGTTCTTTATTACTGTTAACTAGTGTTGCTCAGGAAAACAAAATGATCTTTATCAGTCTCATAAAAGAAAGAGAAAAGAAAGGATTGCAGTGTTTATAATAAATGGATAGATGATTATTATTATTACAACTGAGGTAGTATGTACTAATAGTGCAAGGTGTTGCCTAAAAGACAACAGAATTATTACAACAGAAAAACAAGATGTGCAGCCACGAAATGGACGTTTTAAATTAATGGAATAAATTGAGGAAGTATTACAGTAAATAGATTATTACTGCTAAACAAAATAAAGAAAAAACTGTCAATGACAATTAAAAATGTATTAAAATATACACATATATATTATTATTATGTATTTTTTAATTAACTTCTAATTCAAATGGGACAGTAAAAAGGACAAACAACACATTGTTTTGTTAATTAATTAGAATTAGACAGAAATTGAATCAAACATTACATTACAGACATTAACGATGTCGTTATTTGGTCAAAACGCAGCTTAAACTGACTTTTACTTGTTTCTTGCTAAATCAATGTTGTGTCCTGACGCTGATAAAAACAGTTTCCTGCCTTGAGTGCGACCTGCTGGACAACTTTTTTTATTTTAGTTTGCACTTGTCACCGATTAGGCTGTTTGTTGTGTTTACAGATCCTAGAGCAGCTAATTTAATAATCACCGTAGTTACTAAATAACTTGAATAACTTGATGAACAGCCGTCTCAAACACCCTGCCTGTCCTGAAGCTTAATCAACGTAATGTTGTATAAAAATGCAGTTTGTAGCTACTAGAGTTCGTTAGGCCTGCAGACCAACAGGGGAACAGGATGATTATTACCAGAAGTAGAAGCAGGAATGACTTGAGCCTGGTTAAAGAAACAAAAAGCTGTTTTGTTGCGTCGGTTGGAAGCGTGAGCCGCTGAGTGGACGCCGGCGGAGTCGAACTGACGGTTTTGTTTGCTCCGCTCTTTGCTTTCCTGCCTGCCTGACAGACTGAACTCACTCTGGTTCACCTGGTTTCATGCTCTCCTCCCACTAAAACAAAACTCCTCCTCCAAAAGCACCATCACCCTCCTCATCCGTCTTCATGCCGATGAAGATGCATGCAAAGTCCCCCCGAGCTGCTTCTTAACCGAACTGAGACCCGCCGAGCTTCGGAGTTTATGACAAACCAAAGACGCGAAGTGATAGAAAAACGGTGACATTTAGGTTTAAAACTAGTTTCTTATCTTCAGTAGGGACCAAAAAGCTTTAACATTTATCTGTGAATATTAATGACGCCAACTGGACATTTCAGGAGCATGAAGGAGTTGAAATGTACATCGTCTCAGAACTAGTGATTCACCTTTAACATCCTGAACATGGGGTTTTGTGAAGTTTTAATTGCCCTTTGGACGCCTGCTGGCTGGGCTTTTACTGTCTCCACTGGCTGGAATTTTGTTTGAAAGGCTAAATTGAGAGTAATATTCATTTACTAACACATAGAACTAAATGTACTAACAGAGTCGGCGAGTGTTTTATATGAAATATTGCTTTAAGCTGCGAAATAATTCCATTAATTTAAAATTAGTTGCAAGTCGCCATTTCTGTGTCACATTAAAGACTTTTCGGTAGCTTTAAATCATTCACTCCACCCACTGGTTTGTATTCTACCGTTCTGATGCCTTGAGTTTTAAATTTGGCTTTTGAAATTGGATGTAGCTTGAGGAACTCAAGTTCTTTGCACCGTGGGACAGTAGTGACGTCAATCACAAGTTAGCCCCGCCTTAAAATATGACCTGCTTTATCGTCTGTTTTATTCTAAATGGAACCATCTTTTCCTAAAAGCACATCTTGCTGTATTGAAGGAGACTTTAAAGTAGCAGTTGAGACAAAAATCTCATTAGAATAATGTTCACCGAGGTAGAAAATCAAGTAAGAAGTCGGGTCGTTTTCTCATTGACTTGTATGGAATCGGACTTCTTGTTGCAGCCAGAGGAGTCGCCCCCTGCTGGCTGTTGGATAAAATGCACATTTAAGGCACTTCCATGTTTGCTTTATGAAGGACAAAGTTAATATTTTACTGTGCCTAAAACTGTATAATCCTCCTTTTTTTAAAGGCTTTTATTTTGAAACAATTAGAAGTATCGCTCAAAGAAACAGCAAAGTACAAACTAAAATCCATCCCAACTTTTTAAACATATTGTTTATGAGAGCTTTACTTGCTGCAGATTTTAATTAAATAGTTTAAAAGCGACTCCTGAACCGTATTAAATTACACAAATCGTGTTTTTCTAAACGTCAACACTCACAAAAATTAAAAACCGGAAACTTTCACAAACAAGAAACCACACTGACGGTTTGTAATAGTATTAAAAGTGGATCATAATCTTATCCAGCCTGCACTTTTCTTTGTTTTGGTGCATTTTATTGCATTAGAAATTGAATTTTAAATTAAATAAAGGCGTTGTTTTCACTAGTTTCAGTAGTTTGTAATGACGGCGGGAAAAAGCCTTGAGACATTTTGCAGATTTATTAAAACGTTTTTAATCTGTTTCTCAAATAAATCTTAAACTGAAGTCTCTCATTTACAAAATAATTACACGTTACATAATTCTGAATGGAGTTTTTCCATTTTATCCAGATGAGCAGAAAACTTTGCTGCACAGAGAAACTCCAAACAAACCATGAATCTACGTCCTCTCTGTTTCTTTCTGCCTTTTGTTCTCTCAACACTTTACCCTGACGTTGGATCCAGTTGTTGCACATCTCACATACAGATGTGGTTTGGTTTGTGTGCGTTTGAGTGACATCTGGTGGCACTTTGCATTCCCTCTCGGCTCGTCCACGGCGTCCAGACGAGCCGAACTAACCCGGCTGTTTCTCCACACGTCAGCCATCTTCCTGCTTTTTTTCTACCTCTTTGAGTGACGGCGGGTTCACCGGCTTTCACCCCGTTCATCATTAACACCGCGGCGGATCATCGCAACCCTCCACCTGCTGCAACGTCCAAATCTCCAGACACTTTCGTAGGACATCCGATCAGCTTTATGCCTTTTGACAGGGCTAGAATTATTTGTCGTTGGTAGGTTAACCTGCATGCTAATGTGTTAGTTAATTCTGTCCTCAGCCTTTGGATCGCAGCGAGGTTATAACCCGGAGAGGAGTGAAGCCGCGGAGCTGTCAGAGTAATAATCAGGGTGTTGACGACCAGCAAGCAGACAGATGTTCAGTCGCTGCTGCAGCATGAATCCAGCTGCTGCTTGTCCGTCCAGATTATTAGAAGAATAAGGAGGGAAGTCCACCCTGAAACAGAACTGCCGTCATTTAGCTTAGATGCCATTGCAGGATTCAAAAACCAGCAACCTTTCTAGATTAATAGATTAGTTCTACGGTTTATAAAATGTCAGAAATTGGTGGAAATGATCCATCAGTGGCTTCAAAGCCCAAAATAACTTCTTCAAATGTCTTGTTTTGTCCACAACAACATCAGAGGAGGAAAGAAACCAGATTTATAGCAAGAGTTTACTGGTATTCGTTGACCGCTGATCAATTAATCATTGCAGCTCTAGAGTAATTTTATTACTTCTCTTTGATTATAAAGTCATAAAGTTCTGTTTATTTGCATGTTAGGACTGTTTGATCCAGATAAAAACAGCTGTAGATGTGTATAAACTGGGCAGTGATCAGTTTTTGGTTCATCAGCACTAGATCTTGTACCACATGATGTAACATTCCAGCTATTTTCATGACTTTTCACGTGTAAAAACGACTGTAACACCAATGATGCCTTCAGGGAGAGTCGGACATTGGTGTCTATTGTTATATTTACAGCCTTTTAAAGCAGGTGAAGACACAAGTTGGACTCAGCTTAGCATTATGTTACATTTAGATTAGCCCTAAACCGAACTATGGAGCTTTTTTTTGCTTTTTTTTCCATCAGGATGTTTGTTTAGCTCCATCCTGTATTTCTTTTTTGGTGCAACATTATTCACCAAATAAGAAAGAATCTCTGGTGTTCAAACTATCAAAGAAACTTAATTCTTTGTTCCTAAAGCAAGAACAGTTTCAGCTGTGGATAAAATGTTTGGTGCTTTAGTGATGACATGTATGGTTCTGTTTTGGGGTGGATGCTGCTCTCCTCCCAACTCCACCGTTGTTCTTCAGTAACCTCCGGACTGATTGTTGAAACGTAGAATGTCAGGACAGTTTAACTCCAGTCGTAGTCATGTTGAGTTTCGTCACGATGTTCAGAATCAGCCTAAACCCTACTTTAGCCTCCGTCGGTGAGTTTCCTGCCTCTCGTCTGAACCCATGACGCCCTCATGCATCCAGAGTGATAGACTTTACACAACCGTCCATGTCTATGGCTCTTGATTTTGTCCATGATCTCCCGCAGTGGACGAACGTTTCAACTCATCTTGCTGCTCAGAGGAACGAAGGGAAACTCACCTGTTAGCAGACGTCGGTAGTCGGTGTAAAAGACACCTGATTGGCTCCTGAAGACGTCGAAGGGACCAATGTGATGGAGGTCATGTGACTGATTAAAGCTGGTTATGTCTGACAGATTTATGTGAGGTGTTACCATCAATACCTGAGTTATACGTCAGTTAGTCCAGAGTTTATGGAGGCATTGTACATGTGTTAGCGCACATGACCATGAAAACTGTTATTTTCTGTAGATAGACATTCAGAAATCTGTAGTTAGAGCGCAAAGACATTCACCGAAATGTAAAGACATGAGACAGGAAGAAGCACCTCCATAGCATGATGCTGCCACCACCGTGCTTCACTGGTTGTAACGATGTTAGCCAGACACAGTGCTTGATGCTCTGCCCAGATAATCAGATAATCCCTGAGACAACTTTTCTTGAACTCTTAATAATGTTTGACAAACTTTAAACAGGCCGTCATGAGCTGGTCAACTTTTAAGACCTGATTTTTTCTGAGATTTTCTCATCTCTTGAAGGACTTATGAAGGACTGTTGGGGTCTTTTCCTGATCTTCTTCCTTGGTTACCCATCTTGACTGGACAACAACCACTAGGTCGACTCACGGTGTTTCCAAACTTCTTTAATGTCAGTATTATTGGTGCCACTTTGTTCCTGGAAACACTCAAAGCTTTAGAGCTGAACTAAAGCAGGAGCATGGCTGGTACCTCTTCAAAAACCGTTTCAATTTAAGAAAAATCTTTTTAAAACCTGTTTATTGGGAACCCCAGGAATATTTTTTTTACTTTTTTTAGGAAGACCGATGAAAGAAAGGCTTCATGTACAGACTGAAAACACCACTGGAACAGAAAGTAATTGATATCTATGCAAATAAATGTCATTTTTTAGTTATTTTTTTCATGAGGTGTCCTCAAATACACTTCCTGATACGAAAAAGCTGTTATGTTGTGGTGTGAAGTGGAAATTAGGGGTGTAAATATTCGATCAGCTGCCCTCAGTGGGCGGTACCTTCGACCATCAGTCACATGACCCTCATCACATCATAGCCGCCCGTCTTCACCAATCAGTTGACTTCTACAGCGACTGTATTGTGCTTTACTCTTACTGTACCACCGTTTCCGTTCTGCCAGCAGCGGTAGAAGCCAAACGGCATGTTGGACTCAGCCAGTGTTTGCTGTGCGACGGTTTGTTGTTTTCTCATGTTGGTGAATCAGAGATCTGTGGTTCTGCTTCTCTGCAGTTTGCTGTGTGATGTTTGTTTGTTTGAAGTTCAGAGCAAAACCAACCATTTCAGCTTCACTCGGCTCTCAGAAGTTAAACCAAAAAAGCTAAACTGTTGTTGTTGTTTGGGAAAAAACTAACGTTACTGCAGAGCCCTGAAGGGGAAAATACTGATGAAGCCAGCTGGGGTTTGGAGATGTTGGTTTCCGGGTGCTGATCTTTTCTCCCCGTCCCGCCTCCCTCCAGCTCCTCATCTGTCCTCCGGTGACTCGGTTCTTCTTCGGCCGGCGGGAGCCTTTCCACAAGCTGCTGATCCAGGGAGACTCTGCCGGCAGACTGTCGCTGTGGAGCATCCCGGACACCTCGCCTCTGCAGCCGCTGTCCACCTCCTCAGGTAGAAAAATGGCATCACGCAAAGCCCAAATGGGGAAGAGTCAGATGTATGTTGGTCTTTCTGAGCTACAAGAACAGTTGCTGTCGTCGTGTTTTGCAGAAAAATTTACTTAATTTAAGAGAACGTATGTGATAATGTGTACCTGTTTGGCAAAATGGCTCTATGACGCCCCCTACAGTAATTTATCCATTAGCCCCCGCAGTATGTTTAACCTACATCTACGAAATTTGGTAGACATATGTAACACATCAAGACGCACAAAAAAGCCTCATGGACCCATACTGTAAAGTCAACAGGAAGTCCGCCATTTTGAATCAGCTGTGCGATTTTTTTTTTTGTTGTTGTGATTTTTGTCATATTCAAGAACAAACTCCTCCTAAGGGTGAAGTCCCAGAGCGCTGATATTCAGGTAGCGTGTAGAGAACACCTTAAAGGTAAAAAATTAGTTTAACATTTGTACGTTTCAACACGACCATCCCAGCGACGACATCATTAGGAAATTTGAATATTTGACATTGTTCTTGTAGAGATTCAATCTGAATCTAAGTAAGAAATCCCTTTGTAATAACCCTTTGTTGATGTCTATTGGCCTTTACAAAAACAAAAACAGCCTTGCTAAAAGACCATTTAACCATTTAAACCATCAGAGTGTGGAAACTACAGGTCAGAAACTTACAGGGAACAAAACTACAACCCAAACAGAAGTAATATAGGAGTCACAAAATCCTTTAAATTCACTTTTTGTAGATAATATTGCATCGTAATAGGAACCAGGAAGTTTCAGCATACTTCTGTCCCTTCAGATATTTGATTGTTGTTAATAACTGACAGAAGTGAGGCAATTTGAAAATGCTTTTTAATACACTAATATTAATTTAACATTAAAAAACAGTAAATTCTATCCATTCCTGTTCTTGTTTGTTCACATATTGTCCATACTTGTTTAGAAAATGGTCCCAACTCTTTGCCACTGCTGCATATCTGTCTTTTCTTGAGGTTTTGGTAGTGAGTTGAATGTGTTCGCTATGGACACATAGCGACATCTAGTGGCCAAATATGAAATGTCAAAAGGAAAAGATGCGTTTCAGAGATTCTGTTTGCAGCAGGATGATATCGAGCCTTTAACTTTGTGTTTTAACCTTTTTCTTTTCGCCAAAATCAAAGGTTTCCTTGTGAAACAGTTAAACCTCGTAAGGAGTTTGGCGTATCTCACATTGTGATGCTTTGATTTAATTGAAGACAGTCTGAAAAATTCTTAATTTCATGGCATTTGCTGTTTGAAATGCTGCCTCTGCTCTTTTTCTCCACTTTGATCTTCAATATAATGCTTTATATCATTGCTTAGAGATTTACAAGGCAGAGTGCAGTTGCATCTTCAGGGGAATTTTAGAAATAAGCTGCAAAAGACAAATCAAAACTTAAATATCGTACAGAAGGCGGGGATACAGAGAGTTATGTTGAATGCCAGACCAGTACGGTGAATATTAGACAGATCATTCAAAGGATCTTTCTTGAACTACTTCCTCATGTCTCTGTGCTTTTAAACCTTTGACTGTTTTGTTTTTCTCGGTGCAGAGCTGCAGGTTTCGTCCACCATCAGTCTCCAGGAGGCGTTTGATAAGCTGATCCCCGTGTCTGCCGGGATCATCGACCAGCTCAGCGTCCTGCCCGGAAAAGAAGAACCCATCAAGGTTCGAACGCCCGGAAAAGTGGTCAAATATGCAAACATGCATTTAGAATCTGATTTATTAACAAAAAAATGGAAAGAAGAATCCATCTCAGATCATTTCTGCTCCACCATCTCTGATTTGTCTGAATTTTTTTATAGCATAAAATATAAAAATCACCCGTCAACCCACCTCCAGCAAATTGAAAATCTGAGGCTGTTTGAGCGACAACATCTGAGAAACTATTAAAGATAAAAACCTGAAACCTTCTCTGTTATTTCTCATCATGTCACTGATTCAGAATCTGTGATATTGGACAGTAGATCAAATAATCTGTGATTATTGGTGAGTTGAAATATGGAAAAACAATTAAGTATTTCGTGAAAAGTTCCATGTTTGAGCTCATTCACAAAAAAATTGATAAAGCAGAAGTCGACTAGTGATATTTACTGAACCACATGTAGCTGCAGGTCACAATAATACAAAACTAAACATGTAGAATAGTTTTAATATGAAATACTTGGTGAGAAGACTGAAAAGAAAAGTTGTTTTTGTTGAATTTTAAACTCTCGATGGGCAAATTTTAGCCAAACACAAATATCTCAAAAAGTGTTCGACAGTTTAATTAAATATTTTATACATAGGGTTTAAAAATATCCAGAACTAATGATAAAAAAAAGTTTTAAGGAACTCAAGAGACGGTCGATGAGAAGGACCCTGATGGTTTGAGATGGACGAACTCAGTGGTTTGTGTTGATTTAGCTGAACGGGTAACTGGTGATTAAAGTCGCTCAAAACATCTCCTGTTTAACTGAAATACTCTCTGTGCTGTTTTATTTTTGTGTTCTTGACTCGATGTTCGTCTCCCCAGGTGACGGCCAGCGTCTACATCCCGTCTCAGGGTCGCCTGGTTTGTGGCAGAGAGGACGGCAGCATCATCCTGGTTCCTGCCACTCAGACCGCCATCGTCCAGCTGCTGCAGGGCGAGCACATGCTCAGGAGAGGTGAGGACGGACGAACACAACATTTAGTATTATTATTATTATTATTATTACGAAAGCTTTTTACGGCAGGATAATTAGTCATGTGACAGTAAAGAGCAGTAAAACTCCCTCACAACCACCAGTTGAACGTCAGCAGCGGTGGAAAGTAAAAAGTACGTTACTCAGGTTGTTGGGTCCAGTTCTGAAGTAATTCTATGTGATGGTGCTGCCTGTGCTGCCACTTCACTACACTGCAGAGAGAAGTATTGCATATTTTTCTTCCAGTGGATTTCATTTTTAGCTGCAAGTTATTTTTTTGATGAAAGATTTTACAGGAATAAACACGTTGTAGTCATGTTGCACCAATCGACTGGTCTGGAGGAGACTTTGCATTTTGTGTAATGTTTACTGCATTGGTTGTTCCAAGCAGAGTAAAATTGTGGAGTTTCAAGATGGTTCTCCAATTGTAATTAAGAAAAATGCATTTTGAATCCATCCCACAATCCCAGCAGGTGTATGTGTTATATAATGACGAGCTAAAATACCACAACTATCTTGATAAATATCTACAGTCTTCCTTAAATCTGTTCATCTCCTTCCATTAAAGAAAAGGCAAAGGTCACAATAGTCACATAAATAACTGGAAACTGAAAAAAGTAATAATAAATAAGAATTTGCTAAATTATAATTTAGTGAAATAAGACGTTGCTTTTGAATTTTGGTTGAAAAGAATAATTTAAAAAAACAAAAAAACAAAACTGTCCCGGACCAATTAGAGCACTTTACTGATGAGCAGTGAAACCAGAACACCTGTCAACAGGTGCAGACGTCTGACTGAGAGTTACAGGAAACACCTGATTGGCTCAAAGGGTTGTTCAACTAGATAGTAGTTCACGGGTCCCATCAGGCTGGTTTATTTTATTTTTTTTTTAAATATATTTCTGTTAAACCACAATTCCAAAGCAACGTCATGATTTTCACAAATTTTTTTATTTATTTTTACTTTTGTCAGTTTCAGCTTATTCCAGTGACTGAAGCTGTTTTTTTCCTTCTGTAATGTGACGGTATGAATACATCTGAGGACGACTGTATGTTTTGTGCTGTGAAATCACGGCTGGTCGAGCAGAAGTTGTTCTGAAACATTTGAGCTGCAGCGACTTTTCTGTAGTTAAACACTGCAAAGCAAAGCAAACCTGTACAAGTTCTGATTCAATCAGAGTGAAGTTTCACCTCCAGCTTCTTCCTGTGCTGCTGCATTAATCATTCTGGCCTAAATCGTTCCACACAGTCGCGTCTCTTACGTTTAAACGTCTTCCTGCAGGTTGGCCTCCCCACCGGACCCTCCGAGGCCACCGGAACAAGGTGACCTGCGTCCTGTACCCCTACCAGATCTCCCCGCGCTACGACCAGCGCTCCCTGGTGTCCGGAGGCGTCGACTTCTCCGTCATCGTCTGGGACATCTTCACCGGGGAGATGAAGCACATCTTCTGCGTCCACGGAGGGGAGATCACTCAGCTCATCGTCCCTCCGGAGAACTGCAGCGTAAGTTATCCCTCCGTTTGCTTCGTCTGGTTTTGACATTAGATCTAAATGTTACGAGGTGGGAGTAGCTTTGATGCCGTCGCACAAACAGACTGTATTGTTTAAATGACATTACGGTAAATGATGAGGAATGTGTCGTCGCCATGGAAATCAGACACATGGTGCAGAAGACAGACCTGCTTCCTGCTTTAATGGAGACTCGGGTGTGTTTGTTTCATTTAACAGAAATCTAATCAATGAAACCTTAAAAAATAAAAGCAAGCTGCAGCTAAAAAACACACGATATGGATTCATCCGTCTGATATTTAAAATACTGGATTTATTAAATATGTCATAATTAGCTGCATGTCACAGTAACATAAAACACATAGAATACTTTAATATGAATACTTGGTCCCAAAAATGGAGGAAAAAAGCTTTTTTTGTTGAACTTTTTTTAACCGATTGAGCAGATTTGACACAAAAACCGAAATATCGAATATATTTAAAAGCAAACTCAAACCGTTTTAATCAGGCTTTTGATTGATTTTGTAGATTTTATTCATTTACGACTCTTTTATTTATTGGGTTCTCTATTTATGCACCTATTTTAGTCTTTTTTTTATTGTGCTGTTTATTACTTCCTTTTTATTATTTCTTATTCTGTTTTTTTCCCTTAAATTCATCTCTTTTAATAACAGATGTCTTTTTTAAAAATGTGTTTATTGATCTAACTTATTTTATCTCATTTTATTTCATTTAATCACGTCTGGTGTTTCCTCATAGCGTAGATAAAGTTGATCATGTGACTGTGGAGGGTTGTTTTATTATATTTTTATTTATCTATAAAGCGCTTGTGTTGCATTTCTGTTTGTATGAAAAGTAGAACTAATGTCTGATTGACTGAACTACGAAAACATGTTTTTCATTTTCAGACTCCACTTTGTAAAGAAACAAAGCCTTTATTGTCAATATACAAACATACAATAACAAATGTTTATTGCACAGCTAAAAAAAACAAAAAAACAAAAAACAAAACTCAGGTGAAACTGGCTAAAAGAATTTTTGCAGCTTGAGTGTAATAACTAGTAGACATTAGAAGGTACCGACATCACAAATGCGAACACTATAACGTTCTTTAAAGGTTTTAGAACAGATCTTACAGCCAGCATTTCTTCAGCTCCAGTTCTTCTGGGTTTTCACCGCTCCCCGCTGTGTTTTGTGCTCAGACCCGGGTGCAGCACTGCGTCTGCTCGGTGGCCAGCGACCACTCCGTCGGCCTGCTAAGCCTGCGGGAGAGGAAGTGCATCATGCTGGCGTCCCGACACCTTTTCCCCATCCAGGTCATCAAGTGGCGCCCGGCCGACGACTACCTGGTGGTGGGATGCTCGGACGGCTCCGTCTACGTCTGGCAGATGGATACAGGTGAGGACCAGGCGTTAGTGCTACCAGCTCTGCCATCACAGGGTTTCTATGCAACTTGGATATTTCGTAGCGCTTTTTATAAAACTGAAGCACTGTGATTTGGAAAACTGTGATTTTTCTTTTAGCCCAGGACAATATTCTAGCTTCTGGTTGGGACACTAGTGGAGTGGTTTCACCATCATACCTGCTCAATGAATGTTCAAATATTGGCCATAAATCCCCCAAAAATCTCATAAAGTATACCTCTGACTGGCACCATACTCAGCCAACAGAGGAAACAGAACTGGTGGAATAACAGAATAGAAAAACCAAATTTGCACCATCATATAGCTGGTTTGGATTGTTCTGTCAAAGCAGGGTTGTACCACTAAAGGTTATGTGTACAGATCAATCACTAACTTGCTTCTCAAATCACGGCTCTTTAAACATCGATCCACTGATTGGTGCGAAGAAAACGACGCAAACTCGACATGAATCCACATTCTTGAAGAATTTTCTACTTAAAAACGAATGTTATGACCCCAGATTTTACATGTTTTACTCAATAAAATACACAAAAATAAATCAGACGAACACGAGATGTTCAGGCGTGAACTTTTTAAAAATGTGGTGGATTGAGGTGGCGTTCATGTTGGCTGCATTTGTGTTTGTTTACTGTATAAACAAACTAAGTGCAGAGGGATAAACAGTGGGTTTTAGAGGTTTTAGTAGGTCCATACTATAGAATATATAAAATATTGATGCATCCTCTGAGTCTGAAAAGTAAAACCAAGTAGAAGAGCTTAAACCTGCGTTCTTTCTACCAGCCACCAGGGGGCGACTCCTCTGGTTGCAAAATAAAGTCTGAGTGTATAGAAGTCTGTCAGACTTCTTGCTTGATTTGTTACCTCAGTAAACATTTTCCTAATGAGTTTATGGTCTCAATTGCTAGTTTTAAGGCTTCTGAATACAGCATGGTGATAATTTTTTAAAATTATGGTTCCATTTAAAGTACAATAAACGATAAGGTGAGGCTATTGACAGATTTTGGTGTGTTTCAGTCAGATCCATTTTTTTAAAACACCAAGATGGCAACGACCAAATTCTAAACTCTTAAATGTGCTTAAACGGCGTTAAAATGTGAATTTTTTTCCTTTAAAATCAACCTTTAAACCTGTATGAACACCAACAGGTTCATTGTTGTTCATCATTAGCGTGTGAACCATAGTTTTCAGGACAAACCAACCAAATGTTTCTCAAGTCTTGTTGTCTCAGGTGACCAAAACCAAAATCTGTGCCCACCTCCTTTGTCTGGAAACCCGCTCTACAGATGGATCCACAGTGTAGGCAGGAGTTATTGCACCGATCTCGCTCATAAACCGACGTCTAAACGCCGTAGTTTATGTAGGGAATTTTAGTTTTACGCGCTTTTGCCCAGAAACGTGTCCCTAAAGATCACGGCCAATCTGCAGCACCTCCGAGTGCTGCACAAATAAAGGTCATAATAAAAAAGAAAAAATTGGAATTGAGCCCAGTTTTATTCGACGGTTGGACCTCTTCACCCACAAATCACCAAAACGGCACCGACCTTATTTTTATCAGCTGCTTCAGCCATAAATTCCAGCACTGAGGAAGTCTTTCCTCCACTGTCGTGTCACCTTTTAATTTTTCTGAACACAAAATTCCACTTTTACATTTTCGACTGTTCCAGACACGCCTTGAGCTTCGTCTAATTACGATGCATTGAGTTATGAAAGGCAAGTTTTGTGATGTTTATAAGCTGCCGTTGATGTTGAGCTTTTACCACCTTTGAAGCTCTTCATGGATCCTTTCTCGGTTAGATTTCAGACGCTCTAAGTTTCTCAGGCAAAGGCGTTTTGTTTTATTCTAGGGGCCCAGCTGAAAACAAAGGAGGACGTAGCATTATTTTAACACTGTCCTGGTTGTGTTTTTATCTACTCCTTTAAATTCTGAAGATTTTACGACTTGTCTATCCTTTCTTGCCACTTTGCAACCTGGACTTCGGGCCACGGCTCATGTTTTCGGCAATACTGTCTCATGCTAATGTGGGTTGTGGATGATATTTGAGTTGTCACGGGCACATTTCACCCTCCTGGTAGGGTGGTACCAGAAGGAAATGAAGAGGGTCTATCCTCTGGAAGGCAGGAATGTGATCAGTAGCTGTTTTGACGTTTCCTGTCAGTCTGAAAGTCTGATCAGATGGTGAGACAAGATGCTTTATTGATCCACTCGGGGAAATTCAAGGTATCCAGTAACTCACACATGCTACACCAGATAGACAGAGGAACCAAAGAGCAGTTTGAGGGGCAAACGGTGCTGGTAAAGAAACGGCAGTAAGGTGCCTAAAAATGCTGGTGTTTACAGAAATGTCCCAAAAAATTGTCAGTATTTCAACAAGGCGCAAATTGGTTAGGTTTGGTTAAACTGTCTTGATGCCTCCTCTTGCTTTGTCCGACGACTCAGGCGTTGAACTGGGGACTGGACACTGGCCGTCGCACGCTGTCAACACTCTGTAGTGGCGTCGTCATGATTAGTGTCATATTGTTTCCCTGAGGAAGTTTGGTTTCTGACTTTCTCCGTTGCGTCTGGGTTTGGTCCGGTTTGTGCTCTTGGATGGAGATTGTGGTGTCCGTTTGGGCATCCGCCTTTAAACTGGTCACGATTTTCTTTTGTTTTCTGTTCTTTAGTGGTTGATTGATACGCTTCTCTAGTTGTGTTGTCTTGGTTAGGGGGTTTGGTTTCTGACTTTTTCCTTTGTGTTTGGGTTTGTTTTGGTTTGTGCTCTTGGATGGAGATTGTGGTGTCCTTTTGGGCATCTGCCTTTGAACTTGGTCCCGTTTTTCTTTTTTGTTTTTCTTTGGCGGTTGACTGATACGCTTCGTTTAGTTGCCTTGTCACGGTTAGTGTCGTATTGTTTCCCAGAGGGGGTTTGGTTTCTGACTTTCTCCGCTCCATTTGGGTTTGTGCTCTTGAGTGAAGATGGTGGTCTCCTTTTGGGCATCTGCCTTTGAACTTGGTCCCGTTTTCTTTTCTTTAGCGGTTGATTAATATGGTTCTCTGGTTGCGTTGTCCTGGTTAGTGTCACATTGTTTCCCTGAGGGGGTTAAAATGGTTAGAGTACAGAATACAGGAAGTGGAGTATACCTAGCATGCTGCCTTCCTGCACCATCCAAATCCTCTGCAAAACTTTAGATTTTCATGTCGTTGCTCGGATGGTGTTGATGTTGATTCCCGTAGCAAAGACAACATGAACACAGATAGAAGAAGGAAGGTGGTTTGTATCTACACCCTACAATGCCTCGTGCAGCACTGTTCAACCCGGATTTTGGAAAGCGCTCCATAAATAAAGATGTTCTTAATTGTTTCGGAGACAGCTACATTTGCATTCAACCCGTGCTGTTTGTGGTGCAGCATACAGAGGTAGCATTAGCTCGAGTGATGACCAGAGAAAGGACCAGTTGTGGGCGCGTATAGATGTGTGCCGACCTGAATGAGCTGTAGTGCTGGGAGATTGCAGGGTAGCTAAGTGTGAAATTAAGGAAGGTGTGTGTGTACTGAGGCGTTGGACATGTAATAGGGCCAAGGCTCACAGGCCCTTCATCACACACATATATATACAGGTATAATGGTGCCACTTCTCCTCTCACTCAATACCTGAAGCAATACCGATGTCAGCTCTGTCTGCGGCTAATGATGTCTCTCTAAAGCTCCCCGTCTTTCTGTGAAGCCGGAGAATTGTTGCAGTCAGAGATGGAGGAGGCCTGTCTGTGACCTGAATCATATTCAAGAGACAATAGATGATGATACTGGAGACAAACTGAGTGGGCCGAGAGAGAGGGAGAGAGATTGGAAGATTGATATAAATAGAAGGCGAGTGCAAGGGCAAGAGGGGGAAAGGCTGATAGGAACAGAGAGCAGAGTGTTGTGATGGGAATGAGGAGAAACAAAGATCGGCCAAGCGGCTCTTTTTAAAGGCGCTGAAATCGGGTTCTTCCAACCGAACTTTGAGGACAGACTCTTTATAGAGTTGGCGTCGGGTTCGTGTTATAGGAAGCAGGAATGCTATCAGGAGACGTGTTTTACCTCACTGTGGGTTCATCTTTCCTCTACCTCCTATAGAAGCAGAACAACCGTGGCTAGAAGTAGAGAGAACTTCACCCTTTCAACATCCATGATCAGATATGGTTTTGATTAATCACTCACAAATTCTTCAGACTTCATTACATATCTGCTATCAATCAAAAGTAGACAAGTTGACGGTTAAATATATCTCGTCTTATACATACAGGTGTGAATAAGAAAAGGTAAACTTCATGCTTACCAGGGATAATGTAATTATCAGCTCTTATATCCTGAGACATCAGCGAAAGTCTGTAATTAGTCAGTTAGTTTTGATCGCTTATAAACATTTAGGAAACGAGGTATCAAAAATCCCGTTTTCTGGTGATTTTTGGGGTCAAACGGCGTCATTTTGCTTCACTTGCATGATTTATTTCATGACTGAATCGCGTGTTCACATTCCTACTGATAGCCAATCAAAATGAATGTAGTAGAAAGTCGCCATATACCGAAGCCGATGGACCGGGATGCTGAGTCGTAATGCCAGCCCGATGTAGTGTCGAAAGGGTTAAACATGTCTTCTGTGCACTACAACGCAGTTAAATGATGAGTTTAGATCAAATCAATTGATGCAGAGTTAACATATTCGACCACGAGGCTGCTACGACTATCGTACAGTTGTTGTTGCTGCTCTACATGCCTTCGAATGGCCCCCCAGGAGACAAACTAAGTGTTTTCAATTAAACTAAACTGAATTGAAAATGAAGCATTAAGAAATACAAAAGTCCAAGAAGGATAAAAAAAAGATATCATGAGGACCTTGTACATTTTTCATGTGTAGATATGATGGATGATGTACCCAACTGTAGGAAAATACTTTGCATGCAAGGAGACGAGTACTTTGATTAAAATGGATAAACCATCAGGGCTGCCTTACCATTATCAAAATCTTTAACAAAATCTGACTTCTTGGCAAATAAAACTGAAGCTCATACCTGCGTCCTACACCCGGTGAACCAATCATTGTTGTTTCCAGGCGCCTTGGACCGCTGTGTGATGGGTATCACCGCCGTGGAGATCCTGAACGCCTGCGACGAGCTCGCTCCGGCCACCGTGGACGCCCTGAGCCACTCGGCGGTGAACCTGAAGCAGGCGATGACCCGTCGCAGCCTGGCGGCGCTGAAGAACATGGCTCAGCACAAGCTGCAAACGCTCGCCACCAACCTGCTGGCTGCAGACAACGCCGACAAGGTGAGGACCACCGCCGACGGTCACGAAAACAAGCAAATAATTAGTTGTAATACCTGGTTGCGCCACCAGGTGGAGCTTCTTACACTTTAACGACCTGAAGAGGCATCACTCAGATTTTTGTTGGCAAGCAGAGAGCATTGTGGGAGTTTAGCTAGTAAAGTACAACCATGAGAAAGTATCCTGTGGCGCTTAATAGGCACCGACCGAAGCTTTTATGTTCGTTAATCCAGATTTATCAGCTAGACAAGCAGCCAGTATGTCACGTGACTTCATTTACGACTTAAATTGTTTGTACTGGGTTCATTTCAGGTAATTGATTAATTGATTGAATACTGACTGATAAAGCTCCAGAATATCTTTTAAGGAAATAATTCAAACTCTGCATCCCTACATTCTTGGTTTCCGCTTCTCAAATGTACCACTTTGATGTGTTTTCGTTTGGTGTTGTTAGAAGTTGAGAGTTCTTGGACAAAGCAAGTGTTTGACGACTGTTTGGGGAAACTAAACAAGACTAAAGTTGTGCTAGCGGCTATGTGAGACTGATTTTTATTTTTTTGTTTTAGAAACAGTGGTGCTCTAAATAGGCTAGTGAATTTTACCATGTTTGTTAGCATGTTAGCGCACTTTACCTGTTTGGTTTGTTTCAGTTAACCTGGTTTGCTCTGGCTGCTCTGTTTAAACCACACAATATCATAATCAGAAATACTTTATTGATCCTTGAAAAGGAAATTGTTTCAGTTACAGCTGCTCCAGTTCACAGTCTTAGAAAAGATTAGCTGGATATACCGAACCACCGTTGTGACTGGTGAGCTTTTAGCAGCTGGAGCTCTTTACTGCTGCCTTTCCATGGAGTTACTTTCATATTTGGGGTGCATTTAAAGCCACAGAAATAGTCTTAAATCTGTTGTAAATCTTATAATGTTGTCGCCTCCTGAGCTTTTGTGCTGTTCTCATGGAGGCTAGTTGTGTTTTCAGCTACGTGTCGACAGCGTAAAATATCAACCGAACAACAAATAGCATAACGAGTGACTGCAGGTTGGGTAATTAGTCAGATTTGTCTAATGTAGCGTCTCTATTAATACAGGTCTGATTTTCTGTGAGGTTCAGTCTCATTCATCCCAATCAGACCTACGACACCTTCAGCTCTCAGATAAACCGGTCGTCTCGGTCAGACGGCTGAAGTCCAATTAAAACTCTGCTGGAGATGAGCTAAAGGTCAACGGTGGAGCCGCTGTGTGTTTGTTGTTGTGTCTCCCAGGGACGGATCATCTTAAATGTCATAAGGGGAGAAAAAAACAAAACGAAAAACAACAAGAAATGCAGCGTTTCTTCTGTCTGAGCTTCCAGAGAGAAGCTTTGGAGGTTTAAAGAACAAATCTGCCCAACGATCCTTTTTGTTAGTTATAACATTTATTCTTTGCTTCTAGACTGTTGTAATGCAAAAAAATAAAAAATAAAAAATAGAACATTGTGAAAAAGTTTGACGTTTTCAATCAGTTATTTAAGAAAACTGAACATATTCTAAAATCAGAAATCCTCCATCTCAAATTATGAGAATATTTCTTAAAATATGAAACAAAAAACAGGATTTAGAACGGAAATGTCCAACTTCTGAAATGATATTATTTCTACATTCAATACTTCCTCCTTTAGCATAAATTACTGCATTACTGTTGCATGGAGGCGATCGGCTGCTAGTCGACCATTTTTTTGAGTTACGTTAGGATTTAATCTCTTTAAAAACTTTCCCACTGGAAGAACCGTAGCCAATCTGAAGGCTAAACGTCAACATGCTAACACAGTGAAATGTTGAGGTTGTGTTTTAGCGCTTTATTACCAACTACAATCCTTCTTTTCTACAATAAATGACAAAGCACTGAGTGTTAGCACGGTATGCTAACTACCTAGCTAGCTAGGCTAACACAGCTTCACCGAAAAAATGCATTTTTTTTTGTTTATTGTTTTTTTTTTTTGGTGCCGTCATATACGCCACGAACTATTTCCATCCAGTTTGAGGTTCAGGGATGTTATATGATGTTTTCTCAGTTAATTTAATCCTCCATCCGACAAAAGATGAGGCGTGACAGTTAGCAATAAATTAATCAAAAGTGAGTCAAGAGTGTTTTCTTTGCTCCTGATATATTTTTCTTCACTGTGGGCTAATTTTTCACCGCAACATAAAGTCCTGCAGCTCTATGGAGACGTAACAACCACGAAGAAGGAGAGAAAACAAATATATATAACACCATAAATCATTACAAAAACACAATAAATGAAGTTAAATTTCTTTCTTTATTCGTAAAACCTGTAATCAACATGGAAAACATTTCTCCAAAAGCCCCCAGGTCTCATTAATAATGAAAAAAAAGAGTTGATTATTCAGTAATTCTTTCTGTTTTTGATAAATGGTGTAATTTTTGTGATTTTTATTCCTGATTTTTAAATGATAACACCTCATGTTTGCAGGTTTTGGTGCTCAGAGGGTCAAAAACTGAATTTGTAATCCTGGTATTCTGTATTAGGTCCTGCAAGGAGCTTTGTATCAAACAAATAATTGATGGAAAACTGTGCAAACAGTGCAGATTTATAAAACGACTCATTTATTATGCACTAAAACAGAAGTTTCTCTACGATCGAGTGTCTTTGGTGCAACAGGTGAGCTCTGGATTCTTGAGGAAACCTATAAATGTTAAGTATCGCTGTGTTCCAGGTGTTCCTTCGTTAGTTTGGAGATGTTTTGAGCTCGACCTCTCCGGCCTCTGATCTGATCCGTCCTGACAGAGGAAACTCCCAGCGCAGAAAACAACTGCCATCAATTATTTAACGTCGGGGCAGCGTTTAGCTCGGCTGCTGGTACAGTTTGACTCCGACAGGAAGCCGTTTAGCGTCCCGTCGCTTCTTCTTTGGGATTCGTCCTCTTTCGTCTCGTGTCTCCTTCTGCCAGATAACCTTCGCGTTGCTTCTTTCTTTCCTCGCCGTCGGTTTCTCGTCTCCGGAGGCTCTTCCTGCCGTAATCACAGCTATTTTCTGAACGAGGCCGATGATCAGAACCGTGTCGTCCGCCTCGGTGTCACTCCTCCCTCCAATCCGCTCAGATTACGAGTGTGAGTTCTCCCCCGCTGTGGCTGATGGCGGATGATGACCGTGAAATGTCAGGCCGAACATTCAGCCGTCCGTCCGTGTGCTTGTTTGTTTGTTTGTTTGTTTGTTTTGAGGAAGTCGATGTGTCACTTTGAGTTTGTCCTCTGGAGGCTTTTTTGCTGAACGTGCCGATCTGTGAACGACGAGGAAAAAACAGAAACGAGAGACAGTAAACGCAACGTTCAGTCAGCTGCAGGTTTCATGAGCAGTTCAGGTGTCGATTAAGACATATGACGTTTTCTGTTTTTTCACTTTTCCGTTCAAAGAAGGACTTCTTCTTATCTCAGTTCTTCATTCGAACGCCCACTAATCTCCCAGAAACGGAGCAAAATCCGAAATACTTCCTCTTGATTTCACACGTCAGAACGTTTTGTGTTTGTAAACTCGTCAAACTTACTAATTGTTTACCAGCTGACGTAGAAATGTGACAGATTTCTGACGTGCTTTCAGAGTTTTGTAAATATAATCATAGAAAAATCTTCAATATGAAACTCTACAAAGCATTTTGAGTTGAGCAGCTACAGTCGGATGTTTTTGTCGGGAGTTGGCAAAGACTAAAACGAAAGTAAAAAGAGGATAAATACTGACCGTTAGAGACAAACTCCTGCAGGATATTTCTGTAGATAGAAGCTAAAATGACAGAGTGATGGATTAATTTTGATAATTTGTCCGTCCTGTGAGGGAAACTGACATGTTGACGTCTGAATTATCGACATTTTTGCTCAAAAACGAGACTTTTTGTGGCGTTTCAAGGTTGTTTTTTTTTCATATTTCAAATCCAAATCTGTGTTCTACTTGGATCAGGCCTTCTATGAATATTTTTTGGAATATTTTATTTTTTGTGAGCAAGTATTTAATGTTAAAGATTCATTAGTTTTCTGCAGCTTTCCTTCACTGAGTCTCCTCGCTGGTGCTTGTTTGTGTAACGCAGCCTTTGGCCTGTAGGTGGCACTATTCCTCCACCGGAACCACACGCAGGCGGCTGCACAATAACACCGAAACGTGGCGATGAGGCACAAAAACACCCAAGTCATGTAAGAAAACAACCAGTGAGCTCCTAACGTTCAGTCAGGACGCGTCAGTCTGACTCTAGTCTCACATTTCTGACGGCGTTTTGCATCAGATTCAAGATTCAAACCACTTCTCTGGTAAAACAATGAGCCGCCAGCCTGAGAAAGAGGCTAAATCACAATAAGAGCAGGTTTTCCATCTATTTGCTGCCTACTGATGCTTCTAAAGCCCGGTTTCCAAACAACCCTGAACCCTGAGGGACGACTGTGACGTTGTGCGTCTTTGTGTGTCTGAGTCAGTCAGCGGTCCACAGATAATTCTGGTTTCACCGGTTCTGCTCCACACGGACACGTTTAGTTCAATTCACTGAGCTTTGGTCGCATCAGGGGATGAAAACAGCCACAAAAGGCGGCGGCGATGGAGCAAAGATGGAGAAGACACAAACATTTTCACAAATTATAGACGTGAAGAAACAACGACATCAAGCCCTGCTCTGAAAATGATTTTATTCTTTTTTTTTTGGATCGTATGCTGTAATAAACCCTCTTTAAAAATAGTTTTTAACTGTTATTCTTTGAACAATTAGTTATTTTACTGATTTTTCCTGTTAAATTACAAATTATGTGAAATCACAGAAAAAAGGGATTAATTCACATGTTAACCCGAAAAAAACCCAAACTGTCAATAATGTTTATGTCAAAAATCATAAAAAAAGGTCTTGTTGTTTTGCAGTGTATTTTTCTATATTTAAATCAGAACATAGCATTTAATAGACATTTAATAGACAGTTATTTGAAAAAAAACAAAAACTTCCCCCTGTTTTGTTGAGTTACAGATAGTAACGCCTAAAATAAAATTGAAAAAAAGGTAATAATTTCCGTTTTAACGCTAAAAACAACGACCAAAACCTGTAGATAATGTCCACGTGAAAAATTCATTATTTAATAAAAATGGTATTTTGTGCTTTTAATTGTTTTTATTTTAAATTCACACTGTTGTTCCTGTTTTCAAATCAGCAAAAATATATTAATTTTATAGATATTGAAGTATTATTTTAAAGATTTTCGCTGCTTTGTTAATTTATGGACGATATCAGTTAAAATCACAAGAAAAACAAAATTACTGACATGTTGACTGTTTAAAAAAACAAAACGGTGCAGAAATCTGTATTTTTATAAATAATAATTGACTTTTTTAACGTGTGACCCTAAAATGACACAAATATTGTATTTAAAGCAGCAGAAAATAGAATTATTTGACAGATGTTTGCTTTTATTTGAAAGAAAAAGCTTCTGTATTAAGAACTGAATAAAGGTAAATAATTTAAAACATTTTTCTTTGTTTTGATAAATAAGTGATAACATCTACTAATGTTATTCTATATGTTGTAAAAACAAAACAAACAAACAAACAAAACTGGTCCAATCAGGACATAATGTCCACATCAACACTTTTTACATCTTTATTAATTATAATTTGAGTGTGAGCATAAAATTCCCTGTTTCTTGTATTTAAAGCTGCTAAAAAAATATCATTATTTTACAGATGTTTGCTGCTACTTTCGCCGTTTTTACAGTTTTTAAAAAAAAAACTATTTCTTTTGCCACATTTTTAAAAATCCAGTTCTATTTTTTTTTTTTTTTTGCAATAAATTTTGGTTTTCTGGGGCTAAACTCCAGATGAAATCGTGAAATAACAACTAAGAAAACCTGAAACCTCCCAGAACGATCAGCAGGTGAAAACTCTGCCCTTTCCTCTCGTCTTTATTTCCTCCGTCGCCGTTTTCTCTCTTAACCGGATCACGGTCGTCTAATTGCGCTCATCAGCTCATTAACATGAAACGAGCCTCTTCGTCCACATCGTGTCTCTGCTCATCTAATTAGCATCGAGCCGGGCGTTAGCGTCGGTGGCGATTAGACGCTGCGTCTCTCTGCTGGTGTTGAAGGATTTATTAAATGTTTTAGACATTTTACGCCTTCATTTCAAAGACAGAGGATCCATCGGACTGTTGGATCGGCCAGTTTGTTATTAAAGGAAGCAGAACTGATTACAGTCAAAACTCTTTGATTTAACTGTTAAAGCTGCTTTAATCGCTTCTTTAAATGAACAAGGAATCAGCTGAATACATTTCATGTATCATGAGTCGCCTCTGACGGCTGTTTAGCCTCTTTTAGCTCTTTGTTTTGGTCGGTTCAGTCATGAAGACAAAAGTAAAGGTGAAAAGGATTTAGATCACAGTTGGAGACAAACTCAAGTGGACTAACAGATAACTAGAACGAGAGTTTATTGATCCTTTGGGGGAAATTGACTTTATATTTGTGCTCGTGAATGGATCCATCTACCAATATTTTTGGTTTTTGTCATTGTGGTTCAACAAAAATTATATTTTTATCCCATTTCTGTGACCAAATATTTCATTTTTAAAGTTTTCTACATGTTTAGTTTTGTATTATTGTGACCTGAAGCTACAAAACATCACAAGTTCACTTCTGCTTTATCAGGTTTGTTTTGTTAATATGAGCTCAAAGATGGAACTTTTCATGACTTTTTTTTTTCATATTCCAACTCCCCGTAATCAGAGATGATTTCATGTCCAATATCACAGATTCTGAATCAATGATGAGAAATAACAGAGAAAGTTTCAGGTTTTTATCTTTAATAGTTCCTCAGATGCTGTCGTTCAAACAGCCTCAGATTTGTGAGTCGACGGTAATTTAAAGGTTTCACAGACGCCATTTTAAATGTCTATAGTTTCCGACAAATATTTCTCAGTTAAGCTCCATATTTTGGTTCACATCTGTGCAAAGGAACGTACAAATTTTCTTGATTTGAAGATGTTTAAAAACTTCTACGCAGCCAATCACAAGGAGGAACATGTAAGCTGTAGCTGGAGGTTTTGTTTTGGGAGTTTCTAGCAGCGACTGACCAAAAGCCGTCACAGTTCGGTTGTAAGTCGTATTTTGTACAAACAAGAACTCCGTCTTTCTCCTCCAGGGCAACTTGCCGAAATACTCCCACAACGCTCTGGTGGTCCAGGCCATGAAGACCAACCTGACGGACCCCGACATGCACGTGCTGTTCTTCGACGTGGAGGCGGTCATCATCCAGCTGCTGACCGAGGAGGCCCAGAGACCCAACCCCACGCTGGTGTCGCCGGAGACGCTGCAGAAGAGCCAGGCCGGCGCCGACAAGGGGGGCTCCTTCCTGGCCAACAAGATCTTCAAGCAGGTCGGCGGACGCGAAAGAGCTGCAGGGCTTAGATCAGCTGATCAACGTAGTCTGGTCGTGCTTTAAATTAAATCAAATCAAGTCAGGATTTAAGTTGTAACATTAATTAGTGATCAGAATGAAATAGTGTTAAATCCTCCCCACGTATGAGATCAATTTGTAGAATAAAAATAAGTATTAGGATGATTACGAGCCACCGAGAGGCTTTAAAACAACACGTACGTCTGAAGTTTATCTTGAAAATACAGTTTAAAGTTTACGTCCACTGTATAAAAAGACAAAGGAGCTTTTTTTTCTCACCGTCTGACGTTAAATCAGACGAAAATTTTCCTGTTTCAGGTCAGTTAGGATCACCAACATTATGTCTATTTGCTAAACGAAAGAATAACGAGAGAGAGAATGATTTCTATTCATCACATCCACTAAGATGCCTTCAGACTATGTGGGACGGCCCAGATGATGATGTCATGGCTTTGGAAGCTTCTGATTGGTTAGTTGACAACATGTGACTTAACTGGAGGCAAACCTCAACACGCTGCTATCTACAGGAATCAGCCATGATATCAGGAAGAGAATTAATTAAAGAGGTCTGAAAGAATTCAAATGGAACAATTCTGAGTCTAAAAAGTCGTTAAGATGGATGATGCCCGATTAAAGTTTTGTCTAAATTCTGAGAGTGACTGAGTGTAAATAACGTTCTCCAGGAAGCTGTTCTAGTCGAGACGGAAGTTGTCGAGGTTTTGTAAAGATTAATGAAACCGTCTCCGTTCCGACCAGGTGAAGGAAACCATGAAGGAGACGATCAAGGAGCACCTGCTGGACGAAGACGAGGAGGAGGAGGAGGAGATGAGGAGGCGCGAGGAGAAGTCCAAGTCTCTGAGCCTGCTGGAGTACAACCTGACCATGGACACGGCCAAGCTCTTCATGTCCTGCCTGCACGCCTGGGGCCTCAACGAGCAGCTGGACGGCATCTGCCTGGACCGACTGGGCATGCTCAGACCGCACTGTCCAATCTCCTTCGGCCTGATCTCCAGAGGAGGCCACATGTCCCTGATGCTGCCCACCTTCAAGGTAACTGTCCGGTGTCGCCGACTAGCAGAACTATGAATTAGGAGGAAATTCAAATTTACAAAACCGTGAAGGGTAGATGTTTGTCAGTTTGTGGAACCGTCTAGATTTCAACATTAGTTTAACTACAAAACATTTTAAGAAAATATACAACCAAAGGAACAGTAAAGATGTTCTTGAGGTTTCTAAAGAGGGATATGTAAGTATAAAGTTTGAAGGAAACAGGAAGCGGTGAGATATGAGATGTACAAACATGTAGCTGGTAGGAATTAAAAAGGTCTGTGTTTTGTTTTTGTTTGGTCTTTATGAAACTTTGGTTTATCTGAAATGAGTGAAATAAATCTCATTAATCAGAGTTCTGACTGGAAATAGAAATAAGAAATGAAAGCATGCTTTCGGAGACACAATATTTAAAAACCAAAGCAAAAGGAACCGAAACTAGAACTGATGATTGATTTTAGACAGTGATTACGTGGTCACATCATCCAGAGTTTGTCTTTTATATGTTGGTTTCTGACTTTAAAAAGGCGGAAATAGTCTGAACGTTATTGTTAAAATCTGTTCTCAGATCACTTGAGTAAAGCAAAGAGACGTGAAATTGTTTTGCAACCAACAAATCCTCAAGAAAGCAACAAGTTTTTTTCTCCTTGTCGTGTCCTTGCAGTCGAATTATCTCTAAAACTAACCGATACCCAAAATCCTTTATTCCTTGGGCTGTTAATCTTTTAAATACTTCATAAGCAGCAACACCACACTGACTTTTATTTGATATGATGTGTTTGGGTGTGTAGATTAGTGTAACCTACAACAAGCTGCTTCCATTTATTTAACCCCAACTCGGATTAATAAAGTTGTTTGAACTGAATTGACTGTTTGCATCACAGAGCTCAGACAGCTGTATTTCCAGGACTCCTCCCTCACTCAGTGTAAAAGACCTTCCTCTGTGTCCGCCTACGTTTCCCAGGAGTCTTTGCTGCGCCAGCTGTCCCTGGCGACGGGCCTGAAGCTCACGCTGTCGGACATCGTGGGAAAAGGGACGTACGGCGTGTCGCGGGCCGTCACCACGCAGCACCTCCTGTCCGTCATCTCTCTGGCCAACACCCTGATGGGGATGACCAACGCCACCTTCGTCGGCGAGCACATGAAGAAGGCGCCGGCCAGGTAGCAAACGCACACGACGGATGGGTGTTCTGCTCGTTAGCGTCAAAGAAATCAGCTGGTGGAGTCAACTAGACTATGAATACTTACACCTCAGTATTCAGCAGATAATACCTCAGGAGCGTCTTGATGTTGATTTAATTTCAGGCTGTGAGTTTGTTTTCCGTCTGATGCTGTGTCTGCTGCAGAATGTTTTTATTTTCTCTGGTTTTAAATGTCTCCAGTGTGTCAAAGTGCCGTAAAACACAGATAGTACAGTTTTAAACACAACACAGCCGAGGTACACGTGATCCCAACTAGCGGAGTCCAAGCTAAAAGCAGCCTGAATATTGACTACACAGTATTTTAGGCGTCGTCAATGAGGTGGAGGATGTTGCTTTGCTAAATGCAGAAGGAGGCAGTTTCATGAAGGGAGATTCTCTGACGAACACCCGACCCAGCATGCTTCAGCCTCAACACTACGCTGTCCTGGTTGTTCTTAGACTAAGGGGGACATTAGGGGAAAGAGAAATCGAACTATTTTCTTGGTAATGTGGAAAATGAATGTATTAATCTGGCATTCAGTCCAGTCCTTATCGAGTTTTAGGCTCGTTCTTCGCCCTGTGATGTAAAAACACAATTCAAACCGATGAGCGGAGCTGATGCAGATCTCATGACGTCGAGCAGTGCGAGGCGTTGGTGGTTATCGGGTTTCTTTAAGGGTCGTATCGCTCTACCAAGGCAAATAAAAACCAGCTTAAAACATGGCTTGCAGCTCTAAAAGCTCTTATCTTTCCCTCTTGTTATCTTTGCGCTGAGCTCTGCGGGGGATGATATTTACCAAGACGGCTGGTTGCTTCGTCGGTGTTTTAGTCGATCCGTTATCTGGAACATAACGTCGTCGTTAAACCCGACGATACCTCGACGACCTGACATCTAGCACGAACCTCCGTTCCTGGATGGAATAGATTCCTATATTCCAGACATTTCGCTCGTTTAATGATGCTTCAGCTGCAGCATCATGAAGCTCAGCATATCTGGATGCAGCAGGCAGAAGAGCTCGCCTCGTCCATCGTCAGCCGGAAGAACAAAACAACAAACCAAACAAGCAGGGAAAGAATTCAAAGCACAGAAACATGTACGAGGAGTGTGTGTGTGTTGTGTGTGTGTGTGCAGCTGATTGTTTAGTCCGTCTGAGCTCTCATTGTGCTGTGAAAGATTTAACACGGAGGTCGAGGGGTCCTGCTGCTGTAATACCAACACAACGTTTCACCGTCCATCCGTCAGCGCTGCTTCAAGGATAACGCTGCAGGGAGGCACCGACCACACAGGAAAAGAGAAAAATGAAGGGGGAGAGGTTTATCGGACTTTCCTTCATCTGTCATCAGTCTGGAATTTAGTTCTTTTGGGTTTTTATACTATTTATTCCTTCTTCCATCGCACCTGATTCAAATGATCATCATCAAGCTCTGCAGAAGCCTGATAACGATCCTGATCATTTGAATCAGGTGTGTTTGAAGAGGGAAACATCTAGAACATGCAGGATTATGGCCCTCCAGGACCAGGATTGGACACCCCTGCTTTAAGTTATTTGGAGAAAAAGTTGGGGAGAAGATCTAATTCAAGTCTAAAGTCTGGTCTCCACTCACCTGAGACCAGTCCAAGTCAAGTCTCAGGTACTTTTAAAGAAAACCTCAAGTCTAGGTAGTGGTTCTTGAAGCTATGTTCAAGTCTAGTCTCAGTCAAACTAAGTCCAATCTGAGTCCCACGTCTTAAAGTGACTCTCAGTTAAAGTTCTTGTGGAGAATCCAGTTAAAGTCTGAAGGACATCAAGACCAAGTGTCCAAAAGTCAAGTCTCAAGTCAACGTTCTCGTCCTTCAGAACAAGTTCAGGTTAATTTCTTATCAGCACATTAGGAGTCATTTGCAGTTGTTTGGATTTAAAGGCCACATTCACAGTTTTTAGCCAACCTAGCGACGGTGGTTCTTGTGTTTTCAACCCATAAGTACAGTTTTCTCAGTGAGAAGATAAGCGTTGCATTTTCATCAACACCTTGTCGGCTGGTCGCAGATGAACAGATAGTTTCAGCTGTAATGTCGGAAACAAAGGAGCTGGAACACCGAGAACGCCACGTAGCCTCGGAAACTTTTTCACTACTTTCCGAGAAGCACAGAACTCGTCTTCTTCTTCTGCGATGTGTCCATATCAGAGGAGGTTCAGACAGCAGCTGAAGACTTCTTTATAAAACTCCACCACCTCGACACTCCAAACCAGCGGTTGTGAATATTTGAAGGTGTTTTGGTTTTTGGCTTTTTCATGTCCTCCATCTCACATTTATGACGGTTTCCGTCTCCGTGTGCTGGAGTTTGAGAAAGAAGAAGAAGAGCTCCCCAACTCTTAGTGTTTTAGTATTTCATCACAACAATCGCAGCGGCGCTTCGACTTCCTGCGTCGGCCGAAGGTTTGAGTTTGTCCCTTTGGAAAAGTTGTGGAGACTGAAACCATTTGCTTTTCGTTTCTTAAGCTCCGTCTGCAAAAAAAAATAACAAAAAAAACAGCTGCTTTCTGTTGAACCTTCCAGCTTCTTCTTCTTCTCCAGAAAAGTTACGAGTAGGTTCATCTAAAGTTGAGTTTTGGAGTCATTTAGCAGACTATCCGTCGGTCAGCATCGTAGGCGTTTGCAGAACGTTGCATGAACCTGCTGAAAATCAGATTTATTAAAGTTTTCTCAAACCTCTGTAGGATTTAGTTCCAGATCAAGACAGTTTCAGACTTAAATAAAGCGTTGATTCCATCTCAAATCATCAGGTTTCTTCTGCTCCACCATCTGGGATTTGCTTAAAACGTCTGCATCATAAACTCTGGATATTTAAGATGTTTTCTGTCTAATTTTACTTTTAAATTCGACCCACTTCAGTCTGTTTTTTTCCCCCACACATTGAAATTGAAGGCTGTGTTTGGATGACAATATCTGAGGAACTATTAAGGACGATGCCTTTATGTAAGATTTACCTTTTTAGTTGTATTTAACCATTTTTAAAACTCCACAGCTCTGTTCCATTTGGATCAGACTGTCTACCGATACGTTTTTATAGCTGCTCAGTTACAAAAGTTGATGAAAATTACCTTTTTTGCCATTTTGGTGACCAAGTATTTCATTTTAAATCTGCTTTATCAGTTTTTTCTTAACATGAGCTCAAAGATGAGACTTTCCTTCCATTTTTTTTTTTTCATATTTCAACTCACCATTGATCAGAGATTATTTGATTTACTTGTCCAATATGACAGATTCTGAATTAATGACATGATGAGAAATAACAGAGAAAGTTTCAGGTTTTTATCTTTAATAGTTCCTCAGATGTTGTCGTTCAAACAGCCTCAAATGTCAATGTGTGAAAAACCTGCTAAAAGTGGGTCAACTGGCAGTTGTTTAAAATTATTTAACTCAGAAAATACTGGATATATGAATCTGAAATTAAACAAATATCTGTATAAGTCTTCCTATTTTATGCAGTAACAATTTCAGAAATGCGCAAACAGAAATTGTTCCAAAATATCGACATCACGAGCGACAACAATAAGCCGCATATTGAATTTATTTAGCATGATAAAGGTTAATATCAGATATAGTTCAGTAGTCACATGGAATCTGAAGAGTATTTATAGATCTGATGACCCAACTTAATTCAAAATTCAGTTATTTTTTAGGGAATGTCAAGAAAATGTCACCGTAAACCACATTTATAGAAGATAATCAATGTTTTGTATTAAAACCATGATGGTGTGGAAACTCCTTCAGGTGATACAGTGACACTCAACCAACAGCCTCACTTTTTTGTATTGGTTTGTCTGTTTTATATAATTTATAATCAATAATTCTGATTGGATTTCTCTCAGTTAACTAGAAAGAAATAATTTCCAGGAAAAATCCTCCGTCGTCCCTTTAAAGCTGATTTGTTTCATCAGGTTTTAGATCCGGATAGATGTTGGAAAAAGGCCGAAGCTTTTCTTCAACCCGCCGCGTTGTCGCTAAATTACTGTGTGTGTGTGTGTGTGTGTGTGTGTGTGTGTGTGTGTGTGTGTGTGTGTGTGTGACTGTGAGACTTTGTGCGTCTCTTTGTGTGCGGCGCTGACACAAAGGTGACCGTGTGCGTCCGCCTTTGTGCGCTCTACAGTGGAAGGCAGGTGCTGGTGGGTCGGGGGGCTGCACGGCTCGCAGGTGTTCCCGGGCCTCCGTTGTTCCGGGCGGCGAGGCCTTTTCTCCGCTGGCGTGTTAGATAATTTAAAGAGAAAAGACTCTCCGCTGTCGGTTTGTGATCCTCGCTGCATTCCACGAGTTCGTTTCCTGCGACTCGCTGGTCGGAGGCTTGTGGAGGTTGTGGAGGTGGATTCTTCCTCCGGGGTCGTGACCAGAGCGAACAACAAAGGCGGTGCTAATAGAGGTCCAGTCCAAAAAACAGAAAGAGGAAGCTGTATCAACGGCTCACGTGATTCATTAGCCTTCATGTACATTTAAACAGCACCAGAACATCTGTACAACACATCATGCTGAATATAGGAAACAGGAATGTTGGTGTTGCATCAACATGGATCTGAAACTTTTACACTTATTACACTTTAAAAACTGGTCAAATTTAAAATAATAAGCGATTCCGACATTGACATTAAGATTTTCACAAAACTATAGCAAAGGTATAGCGAGTGTTGGTAAAATCAAAAACACAAGACAATCCAAAAACCTCCTTTATAACAATATAGACATGTATATGGAGGAAGGCACTACGAGCAAAATGGGGAAACCACTTAAAATAAAATAAAATAAAATACAATAAAACAGCAGAGAATTTAAACTAGTTAAATTAATGCCAACATTTCAATGTCAACAAATAACCAAAAAAACAAAAATACAACACAATAGAAATGCTTTTTTTGTTTGTTTGTTTAATTCAAACTGGGTTTTTCAAAACAAAAACAACAAACGAGACTTATTCTTTCAATTATTTAATAATACTGTGTTTAACTCAAATACGGATAGTTAGCTGGAGCTTTCATTGTTTTAAAACCCCCATACGTAGTTAAAGCACGACTACGCTAACCGTTAGCTGTTAGCTTAGCAAGCTATTTGACGTCACATTAAAGGGAAATTACGTTTAATCCCATTTAGAAATTCCTTTTTTTTTAAACGAAATATGTTTTTGTGATCCACAGAAACCTATTTTTACATCAAAATGACTCGTCTGATTTTAATAAAACGCAATTAGCAAAATGTGGCGCTAACCAAATTAGCATTTCTCAAAAGAGCAAAAGTACAACAATATTTATTCGTAGTCATTCTGATACATAATTACATCCCATTACAGAATAAATAAAGAAATCTAGCGTGAATATTTGTTTTCAGATTATCATGAACGTAACATTTCTCATTTCAGAACGCTCTGATTTCAGTTGTCGCTCTGATTCTGCATTTTTTCTTCATTAAAAGTGATTTCTGCAACACGATTGTTGGTTTTTGGTTACACATTGCAAAGCGTAACTGTCCCATTTTGACATATTTTAACTATTCCTACCTGTATTGTGGCCAAAAACATCAAGAACCGCTGGTGTTGGTGGGGACTTTTGTGTTTTACGCGTCATTTCATCCCATCTGAATAATTAGTCGTTTGCCGCCGTTTCGTCCTCGCAGGAGAATTTTGGCGTCTTTAACTCTGGCGGCGATTCGTCGCCCAGCAACCTTATCGATCGCTGCATTGATGGTTGTATTGGAAGTGTTGGTGTGTCTCTGAAAGTTAGGCGTCTGTTGTGAGAGGATCGTGTCCTCCAGCCGAAATCCAATAGGCTGGAGCCTCAGAACGCTCACGCTCAGACACTCGGATTCAGGCGGCTGGAGTCGGGAAACAGAAGAAAAACATTGTTTTGAGTGAACTCCTGTTTTTTTTTTTATGTATGTATGTGTTTCTGTCTTGTAGTCGGTGTGTGTTTTTGTGCTCGCTGGCCCTCCTCTCTGCTCCTTTAATATTTCATGCCTCTTCTTTGTGATCCTCCTCCAGGCCTCCCAGACCAGGAGGAACCCCGGAGACTCCTCGCAGGACGCCTGCCGTCCCCCCTCAGCCCTCCAACCCGGCGCTACAGGCCCAGATCAAACAAGGTAACTACAAAAGGAGGGGGCGCTCGCTTCCAACACCCCTGGGGCCCCGCGGACAGGGAGGAGGGGGGCGGGTGGGGTTTGATAATGCAGCCCACCGGCAATAAAACCCGCAGAGGGTTAAAGAAAAGAAGCAAAAATATCACAGGAGGAAGCTGCTGCCGCTTCCGAGGTCAGCGGGTCTTTAAAGGGCTGCTGTTGTGTTGTTTTTGACACGAAGGTGGAGTTGTTGAACTTTGGCTGGAGAACAAACCTGCGAGTGCAGCAGCTCGGTTCTGTCTTAAAACAAGTTAGTTTAGAAAAACAAAGATGCTCACGCTAGGACGTCAGGTCAAACCGCAGTCTGTGCTCTCGTAGGCAGATTTGGTGGCACTTTGAAGGCAGTTTTTAAGGGAAAGACACTGATTTACTTTCACTTTGATGGGCTCAAAAGATTAATACCAGAAACATGAAGACAATCATCGCAGGAGAAAATGACTTAAAGCAGCCTATGTTTAAGACGAATTTCGAATTTCCGCATAAAAATTCAAAACCCTTGACGACCTTGATAGAATTAGAAGGTAGATCTTATCACTGAGATTCGCCATCTCAGATTCTCATTGAACTTGGTTGTTGGTCCATTTATCATAGGTTCTGTGTTGTTGTTGTGTCAAACCACAGCGAACAAAAATGAAGTACTAGCAAACAACTGAGGCCCAGTTTCATTCCAATCCGATAAAATACTCTTCCCCCCAAAATAAAAAAAAAAATAGCCTCCAATCATGATATGTGGGCGACATAATATACTGCCATCTTTCACAATAAAACATTTTCCGAAATGCTCCCGTTTGTCGTCATTCTTATCTTCTTTCTGAAAAGCTAGCTTAAAACGGGGCCCCTTTAGGGAGGTTTTCTACTAAGTTCTCATCACTAATTGTCCTTTGGTGGTTTAAGGTGGAGGAAGTTGTGATCAGTGCAGTTGCCAGACTTCAAGACACTGCTGTTTAGTTGACGGGGCGGTTTGTCAACCCCCTGCCTCGTCTTTTCCTGAAGTTGTGCAACTGGCGTAACAGAAAACGGCTTTTAGCGAAGAAAAAAAAAACGAGGGAAGCTGTTGCAGCCATTTGTGACAATTCAAGGCTTAGTTTTAGGTGTTATAATTGATATGAATAGCAAAGTATCATCTGCATATATGTGTATTTTGCGATGTTGCCACCAACACCCAAGCTATAGAGGGCTTGGATGTTGCTGGCGTCATCCTACAATCTCTAAAATAGATTTAAAATGACAAAATTCTACTTAATCCTCCTCATGGAGTGAAGTTTTAGAAGCCAGTGGCAAGATCCTGTTCATAACCAGTTTAGAAACACTGACATTAGAAAGCAGTGAACCTACTTTGTTTGAATTATTCCTGCATGAACATTAACTCTATGAAGTGGTTTCAGACAGATTTAAACTTTTGTCCCTTGGATTAGTCATTATATGTTCTAAACGTTTGTCTGAATCTCCTGAAGTTCGTTAAGACTTAGTGTGATAACTGACATAAATAGCAAAGTATCATCTGCGTATATGTGAATTTTACGACGGTACCACCAACACCCAAGCTATAGAGGGCTTGGATGTTGGTGGCGTCATCCTACAATCTCTAAGATAGATTTAAAATGACAAAATTCAATTTAATCCTCCTCATGGAGTCAAGTTTTGTTTAAAATTTGAAGTTTTCAAATAATAAAATAATCGTATGTATACTTTTCACTACAGCCATTTGTGACAACTTTGGAAGTCCATGACAAGATCATGTTTATGACTAGATCAGAAACACTCAGATTGTTGTTACAGGTTAATCACTTATTCTTCCATGAATATTACCTCTATGAGTCCCAGAAAAGACCTTTTATTTTCTGTTTCTGGAACCACGGTGGCATATTATGTTGCAGACACCATGTTGTACCTCCATAGCTTTGGTGCCTACATGTGTTTATGAATGTTGGATGAAACAAATCTCATAAAAAAGGGAGACTGTAGCTTCGTGAAGGTGAAAATGCAGAAGTTTTGGTTCTTTCTTTCCGGACAGAAACCCTCCCTGGTTCGCTGTCGGGGATGTTTTAACCAGCCGTCACCATCTGCCCGATCCCCACCCACACACAACTACCTACCACACTGCAACAAGCTCAATACCTACAAGTACACACTCCCAAAAATCAGGTCTACACGAACGCACGCACACACTCGTGGGCCCATAAGTGGCACCCTCGGGTGTTGGGTGGAGGCGGGGTTTTAGCCGCCATTGTCACGCCTTAATGGAGGCCAAGCGTGACAAGCGCGTGGACTTATTCACGCCACACGCCTATTCAGCAGCATTCAGAGGGAACGCTCGGCCGTGACCTCTGCTCAGCCAGATACCGCGATGTGTGCGCGACTGTCAGAGGCTTTGTGAGGCCGAGTGCTGTTAACCCTGCTCGCCGCCTCCTTTCACATGGAAATAAATGAGGAGGCCCCCCTCTAATATACTGCAGCAGTTCACAACAGAGCGAGCAGGCGGTTCTACACCTCATTTAAAAGACCTGGAAAAATCCTGCAGTCATTATTTCACAATCACATCCACACTGATGCAGGAAAGTTTTCAAATACCTTCTTCATTTTTCTGTTTCGAGCTTTTGTCCAGCAATGTCTGTCAGTAGAAAGACACACAAAGGATATATTGCTGCAGGTTTGTCCATGATTTCCATCAGTAGTAATGAAACCAGAGTCGTAGTAGGATGATCATTAAAAACCTACGCACATATGTCTAACTTTGTTGCTTCCAATTACTTGATTTGTAATAAACTGAATATTCAAATGAGAGAAAATTAACAATTTCCCCTATGTCAGCTTGTGGCTGTACACAGTTTGTGTTTGGAGACAGTAAACTGATAACCTCCAGGGTTGAGAGCTGTTATTTTGACAAAAACAGTCTGATTTTTAACAGGTTGCATTTTTAAAAAAAACTCCATCTAATCACAGTTTTATAATGACGCAGAATTCCTGTCGTAGCAGAATTGGCTCTCCTAAAACTCAATAAAAAACAAAAACATGGTGAATTGGAAAAGGCAGAATGTACCATTATCCTGCTAAAACAAATGGTAAGAAGTGTCAGAAATACTTTTTTCATTTTCCATGTTATCAGATGGTTTATGTAAGGCAGCCATTTAGACCTAAATATTGTTCAAGTTGTATTTTCAAACATTTCAAACAGATTTAATACATTTTACACCACACTTTAAAGTTATTATATGCGTATGTATTGGTTATGGTTACAAAAAAACAGCTAAAAACTATGTCAGCACCGACCATTTTGTGTTTTGGCACAATTTCGTAATTATTAGTGGCAATCTTTCTGTAGATAAACTATATTTGATAGGAGGAAATAATATCAGCATGAGTGTGGACAGGATCTGAACTTTATATATTTTATTATCAATAGCTGAGTCATTTTGTTTGATACGAATAATGAAGTATCGTCTGCATATTAGATTACTAAGATTACTAAGACTACTATATATACAGTAATGCCTTTTGCTTTAATCCTTTTGATAAAGCCAGTTTGGACTTCTTCAGTAATCAAGGTTGTAAAAAGTGCGCCACACCTAAATCAGCATTTACTTCAATAAAATCATACATATTTTCTTTTTTTTAGCAGATTTGAACTGTTTAACTGATTTGTTTGAGATGTTTTTTTCCCCCAGGGTTTAAAGCTTTGAGCATAAACTTGGACATGGGACTACACTTAACTGGGTCGCCAATAGTGTGGTTGGTCCGAGACTAAATCCAAATTTAATTAATATCTTTAGCTTTGTGAATTATTCAGTATATGTTCTAAAAGACAATCTAAATCTTCAGAAGCTTGTAATTTGAGTGCAGCATTTGATACAAATAGCGAAGTATCATCTGCATATATGCATATTTTATGACGATGCCACCGACGTGCATGCCGCAAAGAGCTGCAGTGGTGGCGGCTTCATCTTTCACTCCCTAAAATAGAAATAAAATGACAAAATTCTACTTAGTCCTCCTCATGCAGCAACATTTTATTTGAAATTTTAGTTTTTTTTATTCCCGCACAAATGCTGGCAAACTGCTGTCGGCTGACCTCAGCCATTTCCTCTCCGTCTCTCTTTCTGATTTCTTTGTCATCACTTCTCTTGACTCTCTTCCTTCATCTCCACACTGTCGGTCACTGCATGGCTTCAGCCTGCTGCCTGTTCTCTGGGGAAAAGACAATCTGCACTACAAACACCGCTCTCTTCAGTATTTCTTTCACTTACTTCCATTCAAGCTCTCTTTTGTATTGGTCGAAATTTTTCTGTCACTATTTCCCTCTCTTTGTTTCTTTCTTTAACACCGATGGACGTTATGTTGCTGTGACTGTTTTCTCTGTTGTCTCTGTGCTACATGTTTTCTCTGTGCTAGCCGAACTGTTGCATTGACGGTTTTTATTGTACCTGTTGTTGTTTTTGCTGATTTTGCGTGAACAGTAGAGGGAAGAAGTGTGTTTGACTGTTCTGAAATGTGAAAAAAAAAAAAAAGAAATCCCAAAATGTAATTAATTATTGTTCCTCATACTGTACATGTTTAAAACATTTCTACTCTTATATGTAATCGAAAATGAGTTCCACAGTATGAATGTTTCAGGTTTGTGGCTCGAGCAGAATCTATATTTTTTCAATTTATGACAATGCATAGTATTTTAATTTTTATTTAGCTAATTTTTTCCTGATTGACATGTGTTTGAACAGTGCTACTGCCACAGTCTGAAACCTTTGTCTGTGTCGGTTTGTTTCTTAGCTGTGGTTTGTCCAGGTGTAGTTTGTCATCTTCAAACTAACACCTGATTTAACCTCTTTGCCAAGTGCTTCTGAAGTAGAATCATCTTTGTGTTGGGAAATTCTCCTTTTATGGTCATTTTCATTCCTATTTTCTTTCATTGTTTATAGATTCTGTAATTCTTTGTTTCCTTATTGATATGATGTGTCTTTTTCTGAGGC